TTCCGTATCCGCTTCCAGCAAAAATTAGTACAACTAAATTTACTCTGGGTAATTACTCAATGATGTTTCTTATTTTGTATAGTCTCATTTTTCGATTTTCCAAAGTATTTTATGACCTGAAACCGATAAAAAAATTTATCATTCCTTTAGCACCAGTGGCGCAGGTTCGAATCCGACTGACAGCTTCTTTTTTCAACCTCAGTGAATCAATTCTAATTAATTGAGCCCAATTATATAAAACACATTTTTGCGCCTCTAAATTTTCTCCGGAAAAACCTGAAAAGCGTTTAATCTTGGGATTTAACCGACAATTTTATGTAATTGGTCAGTCATTGAAATTGTTTGCAGTTATCTGTCTTTTGAAATACAAACACAAACAATATGATGTTTTGTTTCCGATCAAATGCTGAGTGCGTTTGTATAAGTTCTGCAAATGAAGTTGTTTTTGTAAGAAAACATTATGATTGACTGATCTGGTCTCTTTTTGATACTTGCTCCGGCATTAGTTAGTTCGATTCGAAGCCATTCTTTTTTATCCAGTGGACTTTGATTAAGCAACATGATGCAGTCCGAAACTATTATCGCAATTTTCCATTCCACTTGCCTTTTTTGCAGATCCTCTATGACAAACTTTGCTTGACATTCTCAATACATCTTGTTCTTGTTGAAGTCATTGATGCGCACTCGCTAGTTTTTAGGTATCAGTCGTGATAGTATTATTAACGGCGCATCCTGGTTGGGTAATAGTGTAAGAATCTATACAAAATCAGTCAAGCACTTATTGAACTATGAATGCTTGAACGAAACTTATACTGTTTTGTTGTGCGGTTTGAGATTTAAATTTTTTAAGCAATTAAGTAGATTTCTTTTGTTGATAACCTAGTCATATTAATATCAGTTGAAAATGTTTGAATATTGTTACATATAGTTCTTCTGCATATAATGACTCGTAAACCACAATGCAGCTTCCGTATCCGCTTCCAGCAAAAATTAGTACAACTAAATTTACTCTGGGTAATTACTTAATGATGTTTCTTATTTTGTATAGTCTCATTTTTTTTAGTTTTCAAAGTATTTAATGACCTGAAACCGATAAAAAAATTTACCATTCCTTTAGCACCAGTGGCACAGGTTGGAATCCGACTGACAGCTTCTTTTTCAACCTCAGTGAATCATTTCTAATTAATTGAGCTCAATTATATAAAACACATTTTTGCGACTCTAAATTTGCTCCGGAAAAACCTGAAAAGCGTTTGATCTTGGGATTTAACCGACAATTTTATGTAATTGGTCAGTCATTGAAATTATTTGCAGTTATCTGTCTTTTGAAATACAAACAAACAATATGATATTTTGTTTCCGATCAAATGCTGAGTGCGTTTGTATCAGTTCTGCAAATGAAGTTGTTTTTGTAAAAAATTGTGATTCACTGCTCTGGTCTCTTTTTGATACTTTCTCCGGCATTAGGGGTTGAAAATGATTTCCACTGGAAGAAACAACTATCAATTTTTGTATTTTCGTTTACGAAAGTTGCATGGCGTAAATCAAATCCTTGCTTCCGGAAAAACAAATTTTAACGGTATCAGCTCTGTTAATTAAATTGCACTGTTGCAGCATTTGAGCCAGCACAGCTTAAAGAGTTCTGTACTGAGACACACATAAAATCTACCTAACTCTGCTGTGGGTCCAAGAAAAGACCAAAAACAACGGTAAATGCGTACTGTTTTTGTGTTGGAGGGTTAACCAAATGAGTTTTGGGACTCGTCCATGGGTCATCAAATGTCCAGAAACTAAAATTGAGCACGTGACCTTGAACCAATTAACATAAAATATGAATGAACAAAATATTTAAAAGATTCGCAGCTTCAGAAGCTTGCCTAGAACATTTGAAATTTTTCGAGAATCGAATCGGTCAATGAAATAACTTTGATAGTTTTAAAGTTCCATATCTTGAAAAGCTGGCTCAAAAAAACTGACACTTCTCGCGAATTCATTCGGTATATGGAAAAAAATGGAAATACTTCATCAGCTCCTAGCTCAGAAAACTTGCCTAGAAAAACGTAAATTTTAGCGAAACGATTCAGTCTATGAAAAAACCATATGAAACTCAAAGTTTCGTAGCTTTAAAAGCTTGCTCAGAAAAACTGGAAAAATTTGCTAACCGACTTGGTCTACGAATTATTTTGAAATGCTTCAGAGTTTCAATTCTTGAATAGCTTGCTTCAATAAGCTTGAACGTTTTCGCGAACCGATTCGGTCTGTGTAATAACTGTTATAATTCAAAATTTTTTGGCTTGAAAAGCTGGCTTAGTAAATTTTCATTTTTTAAACCAATTGATTCAGTTCACGAAATATTTTGAGTTATTTCAAAAGTTTTAGCCTAAAAAACTTGCTAAGAAAAACTAGCATAAGTCCTCAAAAATGCAAACTGCAAGCAACAGAAAACGGGCGATGCAAGCATTACGCGGCCAAACTGAGCACTGTTAAGTCACCGGGGTCGAGATCCCGCACAAAAGTTGCTCAAGATATGGGCGGTTTGAGCGGTTTTCCAGCAAGATTTGAGCGGTTTGAGCGGTTTGGGCGTTTTTTTTTGGAAAAACCGCTCAAACTGCTCAAGACTTGCTTTAAAAACCGCTCAATAACCACTCATTTTTTTGCGGTGATTTTTGAGCGGTTTTTCAAGCAAGATTTCAGCGGTTTTTAAGCGGTTTTTGAGCGGTCTTATAAAGAAAACCGATTAAACTCAACAAAATGCCTGGAAAGGTAATGTGACGCTAAGATGCAGTTGAAATACTAACCGGGTTGACCTTCATAAACCGAAAATGCCTATCTTATATTTCCCCACACCGAAAATGCTTTTCTTACAATTTCCTACATCAAATTAACCACTGGAAAATATGTAAATTTGTGTGTTTATGTATGTATGGATGCATGTTTAAATGTAAGTATGTTTGTATCTATGTGTGTATCTATGTATATATGTATGTATGTACGTATGTATGTATGTATGTATGTATGTATGTATGTATGTATGTATGTATGTATGTATGTATGTGTGTATAGATGTATGTACGTATCTTTGCATATATCTATGAGCGATTTTTTTATATATATAAAAAGAACGCTCAAAAAACCGCTCAAGGTTTGAGCGGTTTGAGCGGTTTTTTAGACAGTTACGCTCAAAATCTTGCTTCAAAATGAGCGGTTTGAGCGGTTTTTGAACGGTTTATCTAAAAAAAACCGCTCAAAAACCGCGCAAGATTTGAACGGTTTTGAGCGGTTTTTCTAGATAAAACGCTCAAATCTTGCGCGGTTTTTGAGCGGTTTTTTTTAGATAAACCGTTCAAAAACCGCTCAAACCGCTCGTTTTGAAGCAAGATTTTGAGCGTGATTGTCTAAAAAAACGCTCAAACCGCTCAAATCTTGCTTCAAATTAGGTGAAAAATCTCGACTCGGGCACTGGAACACAAAGACAAGTCTCTAAAGAGAAACCTAAGCTTAAGTGAATTCCACTTAGAAAACAACCATAGATTTCTTGCAAAAATAAATTAACCGTAAGTTTTGTCGGTATAACTGTGTTGCAGTTTAAGCGGACTCGAGCGAACATATCTAGTTGTTCCTGAATCCGCAAATATAAGCAGATTCCGCAATTATATGCGAAATTCACGATAAATTTCTAAGATTTCGTTGTAACAAATCAATTAAGGCAAATAAGCTTCTTTCAAGCAATTTGGAACAATTTTAAGACGGGTTAACTCTCCGCTTACGCGTTAATAGCACCAAATATATCGCGCGTTAATTGTCCCAAATTGGTCAAAATGGCTATCTTTAAACCCTGATAATTTTACGAAAAATGATCACAGGTGAAATATCTTTTTAGATTTGAGCTCAGAGCAACAATATCTTTTGAATGATATAAAAAAATTCCGTCAAAAATGGCTAGTTAAAAAGTCGAAATTTGTCTGAAGAAAAAAAACCCACCCCGAGCACAAATATTCCGTTACTTTCGTACCAAAAGTCGGAACAATAACAGACATGATATTATAGCAGACATTAAAGTTCTCTGGAAACTATGATTGCTGTAAATGTTTTAAAACTTTTGCCGTAAATGAGAAGCTTTTATAACATTACAGTTTATTTGAAACACCCTGTAGTTGTTATAGCGCAGTGAGTTAAAACACGCATAATGTTACAAGAGACAATTATTTCAAAAAAATGTCATAAAAACTATTGTTGTTAATGTTGTGAAATATAATAAAATACAAAAAAACTGCTCGTATCAAGGCGAAGCCCTGAATGTTCCGACTGCCTTTTAAGGTTTATGGAGCAGTAATAACTTTTAAAAATTTGATGAAATAAAATAAAATGATTGTTTTTTTTCTAAAAATTGATTTTTTTTTAAATGAAAATCATCCCCCCACACGCCATATAAAGTACAAAAGGATAGATTTCGTTCCTTGTAACAAATCAGTTATGGCAAATAAGCTTCGTTCAACCAATTTGGAACGATTTCTAAGACGGATTAAATCTACGCTTACGCGTTAATAGCTCGAATTATATCGCGCGTTAATTGTCCCAAATTGGTCAAAATGGCCAAAATGGCAAACTTTAAACCCCAATAACTTTACGAAAAATGATCACAGGTGAAATATCTTTTCAATTTTAAGCTCAGGACAACAATACCTTTTGAATGGTATAAAAAAATTCCGTCAAAAACGGCTAGTTGAAAAGTCGAAATTTGTCTGAAGAAAAAAAAAAACCCACCCGAGCACAAATATTCCGTTACTTTCGTATCGAAAGTCGGAACAATAACAGACATGATATTATAGCAGACATTAAAGTTCTCTGGAAACTATTATTGCTGTAAATGTTTTAAAACTTTTGCCGTAAATGTTGATAAACGAATGTTGAAAAGGTTGAAAAGTTAATGTTGTACGTATAAAGTAGCAGGTAGGGGAAGAGACAAAAGGAGTGAACTGTTCCCTTTTTCCATGTTATAGGGCAGTGGAGAAAAGCTGGAAAATGTGCTGCACATAGCCGCAGCTCCAGCTACAGATACCAGACCTGTCGCACTTCCAGTCACCAACCCCGCCGACCGTTCCCTGTGGTCAGATGGGATCTTCACTGTCAGCAACCTCTTGCCGAATTCCACCTGTCAGCTGAAGCTCAGGGCTGAAAACAAAAAGGGTTATGGGCCAGAGTTCATTTGGCTGACAAAAACAAGTAAGAAAACGTTTTTCATTGCAAACGGGATAAAAAAGGTTGATTAAAGCGAAATTTAGTGCAACAAGGAAAGATGAGTGCGCTCGAGGTGAAATCAAAATCTGGCATGCTCATCGTGTTTGTTTTAGCCTTCTCATAGAGTAACTTGGGATAAAGCAAATCGTCTGTTCGTCACGCTATCTTATTTTCGGCCGGGTAGATTCGTGCAACTTCTTAGGCTGACACCAAACCTAATCTTACCCAGAAATTTCCAAGTCTCAGTATAATGGTAATCTTGCGAGGTTAGAGGAGAAAAGTAAGCAACTGATAAAATCTGTGTTATATTTTCTCTGGCTGCAATTATGATTAGTTTCAGTTTTACAATTTATCGTAGGTTTCAGTAATGGATTATGATTGGTTACTTGTAAAAATTTTACAGTGATGATTATTAAGCTATACAACGAAAACTTGTTTTGAGCTGGTTTGATTCATCTGGATCTTAATAAGTTTTTTAAATCATACTTTTTGTTGTGAGAGATGGATGGAATTTCTTCTAAATATGAAGATAAGAGAGTGTAGATTGATTGTGCTGACCGAGAGTGTGGGTGATTGTGTCAGCGAAGTACATGTGATGAGGATGAGAGACTGTTGTGAATCCATGAAGATCGTACTGAAGTTGCAGATTTGTGTTAATGAAGAAAAATGATTTCGTAAATTAGAGAGACTACGTCCATTCAACTATTCGTTGTTTCCATCGAGTAGCGGGACGAATGGTTGGCTTCTCTGAGTGATGCGCCAAGGGACAAGAATACTTGCGTTTCGAGTCTTCACATCGAGTTGGTCATTGTTCGATTTCAGTGGATATCTTTGCTGCGAAGTCGGCTCCATATTTAATAATTTATGTAGTTTGTGACTGCGGCAAGCAAAATCAAAAGCTTTGACATTCCATAGTCGGTATGCCGTCCAGTTTTCCTGCTCGTTTTTTTTGCCCTAGGAAATTATTTATTCATTTTATTTTGAAAATTTATCTGTCAAAAAGATCATTACATTTTGTGTGTCTTCACTTTAGCGATTCAATTTTAGTTATGATCAGTTATTTTCGCAAAAACCTTAAAATTATTTCAGTTGTTTTATAGAGTTGATCATCCTGGAGCCGCGGAGCCACTCTTAGGAAAAACTAAGTGAGGCGTTTCTAAGCACATGCTCAAAGTTTTCATCCTGCTGCTGGCGAAGTAAGCCAGTTGGATTATACTTATCACTGTCTCTTTGAGTCTTTTCTGGTTTATAACCTTTACTTCCTTCGGTGTCAGGTGTTTTGTCAGTTTTTTCTATGGTTTTTCCCTTTTTCATAAAAACAGTTTGTTTTTAATTAATGTTAACTTGCAGTTCATTAGGGTTTCAAGTTGTCCTATTGAAGTTGCTATATCTTCGAAAAGAGTAATTAATCCTGTTTAATCTGGATTGGGTATAGTGACAATTGCTTGTACATTTCTGGTTTGGATATCTTTGCTGCAACGTCGGCTCCATATTTCATATTTTATGAAGTTTGTGACTGCGGGAAGCAAAACCAAAAGCTTTGACATTCCATAGTCGGTATGCCGTCCAGTTTTCCTGCTCGTTTTTTTTGCCCTAGGAAATTATTTATTCAATTTATTTTAAAAATTTATCTGTCAAAATATCGTTACATTTTATTTATCTTCACTTTAGCGATTCAGTTTTAGTTATGATCATATATTTTCGCAAAGTCGTTAAAATTAGTTCTGTTATTTTATAGAGTTGATCTGTGTTATGTTTTCTCTGGCTGCAATTATGATTAGTTTCAGTTTTACAATTCATCGTAGGTTTCAGTAATGGATTATGATTGCTTACTTGTAAAAATTTTACAGTGATGAATTTTAAGCTATATAACGAAAACTTGTTTTGAGCTGGTTTGATTCATCTGGATCTTAATAAGTTTTTTAAATCATACTTTTTGTTGTGAGAGATGGATGGAATATCTTCTAAATATGAAGATAAGAGAGTGTTGATTGATTGTGCTGACCGAGAGTGTGGGTGATTGTGTCAGCGAAGTACATGTGATGAGGATGAGAGATTGTTGTGAATCCATGAAGATCGAACTGAAGTTGCAGATTTGTGTTAATGAAGAAAAATGATTTCATAAATTAGAGAGACTACGTCCATTCAACTATTCGTTGTTTCCATCGAGTAGCGGGACGAATGGTTGGCTTCTCTGAGTGATGCGCCAAGGGACAAGAATACTTGCATTTCGAGTCTTCACATCGAGTTGGTCATTGTTCGACTTCAGTGGATATCTTTGCTGCGAAGTAGTCTCCATTCCATATTTAATAATTTATGACGTTTGTGACTGCGGCAAGCAAAACCAAAAGCTTTGACATTCCATAGTCGGTATGCCGTTCAGTTTTCCTGCTCGTTTTTTTTTGCCCTAGGAAATTATTTATTCAATTTATTTTGAAAATTTATCTGTCAAAAAGATCATTACATTTTGTGTGTCTTCACTTTAGCGATTCAATTTTAGTTATGATCAGTTATTTTCGCAAAGTCGTTAAAATTAGTTCAGCTGTCTTATAGAGTTGATCATCCTGGAGCCGCGGAGCCACTCTTAGGAAAAACTAAGTGAGGAGTTTCTAAGCACATGCTCAAAGTTTTCATCCTGCTGCTGGCGAAGTAAGCCAGTTGGATTATACTTATCACTGTCTCTTTGAGTCTTTTCTGGTTTATAACCTTTACTTCCTTTGGTGTCAGGTGTTTTGTCAGTTTTTTCTATGGTTTTTCCCTTTTTCATAAAAACAGTTTGTTTTTAATTAGTGTTAACTTGCAGTTCATTAGGGTTTCAAGTTGTCCTATTGAAAGTTGATATATCTTCTAAAAGAGTATTTAATCCTGTTTAATCTGGATTGGGTATAGTGACAATTGCTTGTACATTTCTGGTTTGGATGTCTTTGCTGCAACGTCGGCTCCATATTTCATGTTTTATGAAGTTTGTGACTGCGGGAAGCAAAACCAAAAGCTTTGACATTCCATAGTCGGTATGCCGTCCAGTTTTTCTGCTCGTTTTTTTGCCCTAGGAAATTATTTATTCAATTTATTTTAAAAATTGATCTGTCAGAAATATCGTTACATTTTATTTATCTTCACTTTAGCGATTCAGTTTTAGTTATGATCATATATTTTCGCAAAGTCGTTAAAATTAGTTCTGTTGTTTTATAGAGTTGATCTGTGTTATATTTTCTCTGGCTGCAATTATGATTAGTTTCAGTTTTACAATTCATCGTAGGTTTCAGTAATGGATTATGATTGCGTACTTGTAAAAATTTTTTAGTGATGAATTTTAAGCTATATAACGAAAACTTGTTTTGAGCTGGTTTGATTCATCTGGATCTTAATAAGTTTTTTAAATCATACTTTTTGTTGTGAGAGATGGATGGAATATCTTCTAAATATGAAGATAAGAGAGTGTAGATTGGTTGTGCTGACCGAGAGTGTGGGTGATTGTGTCAGCGAAGTACATGTGATGAGGATGAGAGATTGTTGTGAATCCATGAAGATCGAACTGAAGTTGCAGATTTGTGTTAATGAAGAAAAATGATTTCATAAATTAGAGAGACTACGTCCATTCAACTATTCGTTGTTTCCATCGAGTAGCGGGACGAATGGTTGGCTTCTCTGAGTGATGCGCCAAGGGACAAGAATACTTGCGTTTCGAGTCTTCACATCGAGTTGGTCATTGTTCGACTTCAGTGGATATCATGCTGCGAAGTAGTCTCCATATTTAACAATTTATGACGTTTGTGACTGCGGCAAGCAAAACCAAAAGCTTTGACATTCCATAGTCGGTATGCCGTCCAGTTTTCCTGCTCGTTTTTTTTGCCCTAGGAAATTATTTATTCATTTTATTTTGAAAATTTATCTGTCAAAAAGATCATTACATTTTGTGTGTCTTCACTTTAGCGATTCAATTTTAGTTATGATCAGTTATTTTCGCAAAGTCGTTAAAATTATTTCAGCTGTTTTTTAGAGTTGATCATCCTGGAGCCGTGGAGCCACTCTTAGGAAAAACTAAGTGAGGCGTTTCTAAGCACATGCTCAAAGTTTTCATCCTGCTGCTGGCGAAGTAAGCCAGTTGGATTATACTTATCACTGTCTCTTTGAGTCTTTTCTGGTTTATAACCTTTACTTCCTTTGGTGTCAGGTGTTTTGTCAGTTTTTTCTATGGTTTTTCCCTTTTTCATAAAAACAGTTTGTTTTTAATTAGTGTTAACTTGCAGTTCATTAGGGTTTCAAATTGTCCTAATGAAAGTTGATATATCTTCTAAAAGAAATTTTTATCCTGTTTAATCTGGTTTTGGTATAGTGAGATTTGCTTGTACAAGTTATTTATGCCGTGGTGATATCAAAGCACCGTTGGTTATCAAATCTTAATTACTTATTCCAACCGGAATTAAGGAAAAATTGAAACCGCTAAAAGCTAATTAATCTTGTTATCAGTTAGTTTATTAATGTTGTTATCAGTTAGTTTGTGATTTTGGAGAAAAATTTCAATCACCACAATTTTCATGCAATCTTTGTTCAACTTGTAAACAATTCGTGGGGAAGTGGGTGATTTCAGGGGCGAGTTAGAGAAATATTACAAAAGTAATTAAAAAGGCTAGTTTTTTTCCTTATTAAAACTAATAATTCACTGCTTAGTACTAGTTTCTTCGTAAACGCAGATTTTACCGCGATCGTTTAAAACTTTTCATTGAAAAGATTGATAAAAAGGTTTCTTTATTTTGATTTTTTCGATTTTAACAACTAATTTTTTGATAATTAAAACAAAATTGGTCATCTTTACTTTTCAAATGAGCTGAATATTTTTCCTTAATTCATTTGTAGTCACAAATGCGTACTAACAAAGAAAGAAGATCGCTAAAAATTCCATGGGGAAAAGTAATATATAGTGGACAAGTGCAGTAATAGCTTTGCTAACGTGCTGATCACCTCTTTAGTGCATAGAAGTGCCC